CTGTCCTGCTGCCTGCCTCCTTGGAGAGGAAGGAGGAGAGCCTGCTGGCAGGGTGAGCTGAGAATTACCAGAATAATTTGGAGAATTTGTGCAGTTACTATCCATTGCCCATTATACAAACTTTTAGCAACTGCAAAGCATATGATAAAGTAACACCTGGCTGTATAAAAAAAAGTATACATTCATTTCTGGATTTACAAGAGGAATATTGACCACCAAGGAAGGCCCGAAAGGGCCGAAGCGCGTATGGTCTATTGGTCAAAAGTTTTACCCATCAATTCGACATGTATAACTATCAGCTCTGAATGTAATAAGCTTTAAGAGTCTGATATTTGGACTATTTCTTTTAACCTTATGCTTGTTTTATTTATGTGTACACCATAATAAATATTTGTATTTTTATAACAATTTATTTGTTAGCTTGACCCTCTTAGATCACAGCTACATTTCGGGTTGAGTTTCCTCCCCCCCCCTTTTCCCCCCTCGGTTTTTGTCCACCCCCAACATGAAGCTGAGCAAACTTCAGACGACGGCGGAAGACAGGAGGGTCTGGCGGGAGCTGGTCCATGGGGTCGTGAAGAGTCGGACTCGACTGTGTGACTGAACAACAACAAAATGACCAAGAACTTCCCAACCTTGATTTAGCAACCCTAATGTACATTGATTGTAATAGTAGGAGATCTCCAGCCACTACCTTAAGGTTGGCAGCCCTATGTATACATCCCAGTTTTGAGGCATTTTATACTGTTCCGCAAATTGTGGCTCACGTGTCCCCAGGCCTGATGAAGAATGAGTGAAGTCCAAGTGAGGAAGGAAAAGTAAAATATTTATTGCAATAAACAGGAAAACAGTGCTAAGCAATAAATTGCCTGCAAAACCAAGCTGCTTTCTGGTTCAAATGAGGAAGGAAGGGCAGAAGGTTATATACCCAAAATGAAATAGGCAATTTGTTGTTGTTGTTCAGTCGCACAGTCGAGCTTGACTCTTGGCGACCCCCCATGGACCACATCACGCCAGGCCCTCCTGTCTTCTGTCGTGCTCCGGAGTTAGGCAAAGGTAACAACAAAAAGAAACATCCATTGGTTACAGATAAAGGGGCATAATTTAAGTTGGCATATATTCATTGGCTGGCCCCAACGAGGGGTACTGTTACATTGCATTTTAATTGTTTATTTGACAAGGAACAAAGAGGTCTTCTCTTCTTTGACCATTACCAAGGACTCTTCATGTACAAGCAAAAAGGCTCATTCTTAGATAAGGGGCGTGAATCACTCCTTTACACAGACTCCTTGGAACCTTTTATCATAACATGGGCAGAACACGTGCAACTTCCACCAGAAGTACAGCAGAAAGCTATGCAGATTCATTCATTTTCAAGCCCACACTCCCTGCTCCGTTAGTGCTACATTCAAGGCTTGTACATCTGTTACACACTGGAGCTTTTCATCATGAAAGGCTTCTTCTTTTTCATTTACAGAGCCCTTCATTTCCCCGTGTACCCCAGAGTACCATTCCTTGATGCCACTGCACTGCCTTTGGTATCCACACAAGCACACAGTGACAATTGGGAACCCATGGAGCAATATCCCACTCACCATGACGTATCTTCCCCTCCAGGATTCTCTAATCTCTCAGGGATTTAGGTAGGCTGGTTTCTCCTTTCCCTGTGCACTTTTCCCCTTTAACATTCCTTCTTTTCTGAAGCATTTTCAGTCCTCTTCTGGCCATTTTTAGGGTATTTTTCTTTTGGTTAATTTTCAAGTCATATATTTTTTTGCGTACACAGGGAGTCCTCTGAATACCCAGGACCCATCCCTTGCCTGCGGGTGGCCTTGTTGTGCTGTTGTTGGCATCCGCACAGTCAGTTTACTGTTAGAAACAGGGAGACTCTGTAGGGCTTACAAGAATAATGTGGTGCCGCATCAAAGATGAGAATTATTATTTATTTATTGCATTTAAATCCCTCAGATGTCTCCTGTTGTGGAACTCACTATGATATACGCAGGACTCCCAGAAATCTCCCTTCCAAGCATAGACCAGTCCCACAGTTGCTTAACTTCAGAAAGGCTGCTGCATGTCTCTTTGGTGGACCATAATCTGGGAATGAAGAATCACCCTTCTAAAAGCA